AATATCCAAATTTTTGCAGTTATTAGCAAGCGCTCAAATTTATGGCAATAATTTAGAATGGTTTCCATTAAAAAATGAAATTTACAGATCCGTATGACATTTGAAGAATGGCAAAATGCAGCACTCTTAATATTTATATTTTCTAGACCAAAATTTTAAGTTATAAAATATACCAATGATTTAAAATGGTAGTATGCGTAACACTCTGGAATACTGAAAAAAATCTGGATGGGATTTTCAAAAAATTACTAATGTACTAAAATTTACTCACTCTGGTCAATGGTGACAAATTACTGTTTATCCAAAGAACAGAATTTCATGCAGTCATTAAAAACCATGTTATCAGTGAATACTTGATTCTGTAAGTAATTACTAATGAATACTTAATATGTTCAGGATCTATTACATTATAAAAATTATAAAATACATAGTTTGGTTACAAATATATATGCCACTCATCTACTCATATTACATGCATGTATGGATATTTCTACAAAGAAAAACAGTAGGAAGAGTCATCAAAATGTTAATGATCTCTGAGAGATAACAGTTGTTTTCTTTTGGGGGATTTATTTTAGATCTTTTCCACTCAGAAACATAAATGTTTTCATTCATAACAAAATATTACATAAGAGTTCTATTTTTATTTTTTGAGACAGCGTCTCACTCTTGCCCACGTTGGAGTTCAGTGGCACAGTCATAGTTGACTGCAATCTCAAACTTCTGAGCTCAAGCAATCCTCCCAGCTTAGCCTCTGAATAGCTAGGACTACAGGTGCACAATGCTATGCCCGACTTTTTTTTTTTTTTTTTTTTTTTTTTTGTAAGTAGTGATGATGTCTTGCTATATTATCCAGGCTGGTCTTGTACTCCGGGGCTCAAGCAACCCTCCACCTCGACCTCTTAAATTGCTGGGATTACAGGTGTAAACTGGGATTATGTACCTGGCCAAGATTATTATAATTCTATTTTTTTAAAAAAGAATTGAGTCTCCCTTGATCAGACTCAAACCTTAAAGTATGACATGTTCATTTTGCCTGACAGACATTATCTACTTGTTTCTCTAAAGCTTTCCTTCCTCCATCCCCTACTGCCCAATGATCAAGTGCTGTATTGTACTTTCTTGCAGCCAACATTCTCTCTGGCCACTTGAATTATTGTTGCTATACCATTTCTCATCAACCCAGCTACAAACCTATGATCTGCTGATGTCAACAAACTATTCTCTCTTCTACCCACCTCCTTTAAGTTCCTTATAAGCTTGTTAGATTCCAAAGCAATATCTCAGAAAATACTCCCATACAATTCAGAAAATTTAAGAAATCAATATTTTGTTTTAGGCCATAACAGTAAAATTTATTCCCAATACTACTGTAATCATATAATGGAATATTACTTGCCAATAAAAAGGAATGAAATACTAGTGTGTGCTACATAGATGAACCTTGAAAATAATATGCTAAGTGAAGCCAGTCTCAAAAGACCATATTGTATCATTCTATTTATATAAAAGGTTCAGAACAGACAAATTTATAGATAGAAAACATTCATTTTTGCTTAGGGCTGGGGAACAAATAGTGGGAAATAATGGGGATTCAGTAACAGGTATAAAGTTTCCACTAAGATTACAAACATATTCTCAAATTAGTTTGTGGTGATGGTTGCTGCCATGGTTTGACTATCCATCCCCTCCAAAACTCATGTTGAAATTTAATCCCCAATGTAGCAGTACTGAGGTGGGGTCTTTAAGAGATGATTAAATCATAAAAACTATGCCATCAGAAATGGATTAATCTATTTGTGAATTTATGGACTGATGGATTAATGAATTAATGGGTTATCATGGGAGTGGACTGGTAGCTCTATAAGAAGAGGAAAAGAGACCTGAGCACATTAGCACTCACCATGTGATACAATGCCGCCTCAGGACTCTTCAGAGTCCCCACCAGCAAGAAGGTTCTCACCATATGTGGCCTCTCAACCTAGGATTTTTCTCAGCTTCCATAATTCTAAGAAATAAATTCATTTTCTTTACAAATTATCTAATAAATTATAAATGCAATGGAAAATAAAGTTGCACAACTGTATGTCTCTCTCTCTCTCTCTTTCTCTCTCTCTCTCTCTATATATATATGTGTGCAGAACTGTGTCAGATTTAGGTAAATTGAATACGTGAATTATGTATAAATACAACTGCTTTTTAAAATACTGTATTTTTATTACAGCTATTATTGATTGAACCATTACTATGTGAAAGAAACCTTAGAGATGCATTTTCATTTGCTTATTATCAACTCTGCAAGGTCAACTTCTAGTGTTATAGATGAGAAAAACAAGTTCAGTAAATTTAAAACATTAACACAAGTCATTCAGGAATGGTGCCCAGATACATCACTCTAAAGCTCATACTTTCGAAACTATGCCATGATTGCCATCAAATAGTTAACCAAAGATAATTTTAAGAGTATTGTTGAATATATAAATGGCGTTAGAAAAGTAGGCATATTGTTTTTATCAAATTGTTTTTATCAATAGTAGCAATAAGGTTATTTGTGACATCACTGATAGCAAATGAGGTTTAAAAGGTTGAAAACCATTATGTTATTTAATTCAAAACCCATATTTACCCATCTGACAAAGGGCTGATATCCAGAATTTACAAAGAACTAAAATAGATTTACAAGAAAAAAACAAACAAGCCCATTCGAAAGTGGGCAAAGGATATGAAAAGACACTTTATAAAAGAAGACACACACGACGCAAACAAACATGAAAAAATGCTCATCATCACTGGTCATCAGAGAAATGCAAATCAAGACTACATTGAGATACCATCTCACATCAGTTAGAATGGAGATCAGTAAAAAATCTGGAGACAACAGATGCTGGAGAGGATGTGGAGAAATAGGAACACTTTTACACTGTTGATGGGAGTGTAAAATAGTTCAACCATTGTGGAAGACAGTGGGGTGATTTCTCAAGGACCTAGAAATAGAAATTCCATTTGACCCAGCAATCCCATTACTGGCTATATATCCAAAGGATTATAAATAGTTCTACTGTAAGGACATATGGACACGAATGTTCATTGCAGCACTGTTTACAATAGCAAAGACCTGGAACCAACCCAAATGCCCATCGATGATAGACTGGACAGGGAAAATGTGGCACATATACACCATGGAATATTATGCAGCCATCAAAAACGATGAGTTTGTGTCCTTTGTAGGGACATGGATGAACCTGGAAACCATCATTCTCAGCAAACTGACACAAGAGCAGAAAATCAAACACCACACGTTCTCACTCATAGGCGGGTGTTGAACAGTGAGAACACATGGACACAGGGAGGGAAGCACTACACGCTGGGGTCTGTTGGGGGGAAATAGGGGAGGGACAGTGGAGGGTGGGGATTTGGGGAGAGATAGCCTGGGGAGAAATGCCAGATATAGATGAAGGGGAGGAAGGCAGCTTCCTCCCCATGTGGTAGCATGAGCTACCACACCCAGCCAGATTTTCACTATTTTTACTGGCATTCTACTTTGAGTCTGTCACTTTTTAATCTGAACAGAATTCACACTGACACGTGTGTACCTATGCAACAATTTTGCATGTTCTTCACATGTACCCCAAAACCTAAAATGCAATTTAAAAAAAATTTAGAAACAAATGCCTCTGGAAAATAAAGGTAATTAAGGTCATATAATTTGTCCCATCTCTTTCAGTTTATGTCAGAGCTGGATTGTGAATATCTTGAAAATACCGACATTATCTGATTTGTCATTTTTTAAGTAATACCTCTGAAAATTATTCTTTAATATTAAATGAAATGCCAACAAAATATGCAGGAATTATTTCTCTTTAAACTGTATTAGGCAAAAGTATTCCTTTATTTAGATTTATTATTCACATTTAGTTTTTAGGCACATTTAAGACTTTATAAACACTACTAACATTAGCGATTCCAGAAAGATAGGTAGATTTTTAAAATATAATTACTCTTATAAAAGGAAGAAATATAGCCAATACTAAAGGAAGGAAGAAATATAGCCAATACTAAAGGACTGTATTTTGTGACTTCACCTATAATGTAATGAATCAACTTAGTTGCCATGTTAACGTATTTGCATCTGTAACAAATTATCACTGACTCAGTGGTTTAAAACAACATAAATTTACCATTTTATGGTTCTGTGGGTCAGAAGTTTCACATTGATCACATTGGGCTAAAAAGGTGCCACCAACGCTGCAATCCTTTCTGGGGACTCTAAGGGAGAATCTGTTTCCTTGCTTTTTCCATTTTCTTACAGACCTCCTTCATTCCTTGGCTCAAGATCCCTTCCTCCTTCAAAGTCAACTTTTGACCTCCTACAAAAGTGGTTGTCTTTTTTATATAGGCTCACTCTGACCTCCTCTTTTGCCTCCCTCTTCAACTTTTAAAGATCCCTATGATTATATTAGGCCCTCTCAAATAATTCAGGGTAATCTCCCCATCTCAAGTCCCTTATTAACATTTTAACTTAAATCACTTCTGCAAAATTGTTTTGCAATGTAACATAACATATTCACAGTTCCTGAGAATTAAAAACACTGGCCTCCTTAGGAGGCCATTATTCTGCCTACCATAGTTGCCCTTGTCCTCAAAGAAATCAGGATACACCTATAGTAAATCCTGGGGCTGAAGCTGGGGAAGCATATGAATGCTTTAAATGAAGAACGTGGAACTTGGGATGAAAAATTTCTCCTATTTTATCAGATTTTCAATTTTTTTTAAAGAGAGAGTCTTGCACTGTCACCCAAATTGGCTCTCCACAGCCTTGATGTCCTGAGCTCAAGCAATCTACCTTTCTCACCCTCCAGAGTAGCTGGGACTATAGGCACACACCAACACACCCAATTTTTTTTTTTTTTTTTTTTTTTTAATAGAGACAGAGTCTTACTATGTTAGCCAGGCTGGTCTTAAACTCCTGACTTCAAGTGATCCTCCAGCCTCAGCCTAACAAAGTGCTGGGATCACAGGCATGAGCTACCACACCCAGCCAGATTTTCACTATTTTTACTGGCATTCTACTTCGAGTCTGTCACTTTTTAATCTGAACAGAAACCACAAGTTTATTTTGTACTTTCTTTCTACACATTGTTCTGCAGTGGAATCACCATTTCTGAGGAACTACAATTTGCACAGCATCCACAATCTGTATCATATAATGGTATGTTGCATTAATTTAAACTAGAGATGAGAAAACTAGGAGGACTATATCTGAGCATATCCAACCATGAGTTTTTATGAACCATAAAATATCCAAAAAAACATTTTATACATACACACACACACACACACACACACACACACACACACACACACACATCTGCAGTTAAGAAAGTGAACCTCTCCTTTTTGAAAGGCCCAAATTCAAAATGAAAAGATATTTTTTGACTTTTTAAAAGTCCCCAAACAGCATTCTATCTGCTTAACTTTTTCAATTTAGCTTCATATCTTTTTTTACTCCAAGATAGAAGAGAGATGTTTAATGTACTAAAGTTATAGCCAGCATTTACCAATTCTTTGATTCGACTTTTTAAAGTACTTAGGCTTGAATCCAGAACCCGAGGATTTTCAATTATTTGTGAAATGCTAATGTTTTCTTCTATGAGGCAATCTATTTTATCATTAAACTTTTTCTCTGCGAAGAAGATCACATCTGGATAGCTTAGGACAAACTTCTGTACCTCTTCTTCAATACATCCAAGAGAAAACAGCTTCTCTTTGACTTTTGTGTAGTTTCTTCTGACACAGTCATTGGAAAGGTCTAAGATTTCAGCTCCTGGACCACATATCAGTCCCAGTAGTTCCTCACTGTTCAAGCTGAAAGATGACTGTAAGAATTCAATGTTAGCTTTCACCCGCTTTGTGCTCTGAATTAAGATAAAAGGGTTTTTAAAAATTATTTTCCTGACAAAACCTGTGGGATCATTGTGACCCAATGACAAGCAGACTGCCTGCAAAAATTCAACCATCTGTTTATTCAGATCAAGACTATTGGAGAAGGTACGAGGGGCACTGGTCAACAATCGACAAAGGCATTTACGGGTCAATCCAACTGAGTAGAGGAATTTTATATTATTCTCTAAGTTTAGGTTGTTACTGGACCGAAAAAAGGATTCAGGAGAACGTTCCAAAATATTTACAATTTCAAGGTCTGATGTCACAATCTCTCTCCACAGATCCCACCGTTTTGAAAGACTCTCAGGAGTACGTGTTATGGCTCGTGGATATCTTGATATAATGCTAGCAATCACTTCTTTGCTAGCTCCTTTGGAAAGAAGAAACATTTTCAGGTCCTGCTCATTGGTAATCTTCCTGCTGAAAACTCCAGGCTGTCGTTTCCTTGCCATGCCAATATCTACTCCCATAGTAAGTAAGTTGTTCAGTAGCTCCTCATTCTCCGAAGGCTCATTGTTTGCATTACGATACTTCACACCAAAAAGTCTAACTGATTTGAAGACAGTTTCTGAAGAAAATCGTGTCATCCAACATCTTGAACCAAAGAGAAAGTTACTTCTCATACACCAGAGGTTTCCTGCTGCCATAATGGTTAGGCAGTCCAAACTTTTTTAAATGCTGTGTAAAACAACACATAAAATATTACACAAATGTATGTGTTAAACAACTAAATGATCATATTATGATCCTATGAGCATCATGGTCCTTTCTATGAGAACACGCCTTCAGCTCCAGCTCTCCAGAACTGTGTTAAGAATTCAACCACTACACTGTCTCTCCCTAGCTCACTGCTTCTGTTATCGGTGGGCACAGGGTTACTTCCATTTTTAACATAAAGAAAAGCAGGATTGGGCACCATTAGTGCCCCAGAATTATTCTTGCCTTTTTCTTGCTCTTTTTGTTCACCCTTGCCTGCCTTGGGCTCCTAAAAGCAGTTGACCCTCTGCACCTCTGCTTCGTCCTCCTGGCTTCCATCTCTGCTTTGTCCTCCTGGTTTCCAAACTTTTTTTTTTTTTTTTTTTTTTTTTGAGACAGGGTCTCACTCTGTCAACCAGGCTAGAGTGCAGCAGCACAATCATGGCTCGTTGCAGCCTCATCTCCCTGGGCTCAGGTGATGTTACCACCTCAGCCTCCTGAGTAGCTGGGACCACAGGAATGCATCACAATGCCCAGCTAATTTTTTATTTTTACTTTTTTGTAGAGGCAGGGTTTCACCATGACACCAAGACCAGTCTCAAACTCCTGGGCTCAAGTGATCTGCCTGCCTTGCCCTCCTGAAGTTCTGGGATTACAGGTGTGAGCCACCATGCCAGGCCTGAATTATTTCTTAATATGACACTTTCATTTCTGCCTTATATTTCAATTTTCAGATCTTTGACCTTGCCTTCCCCCATAGACACTAGATTTCTCTGCCTCTGACATCTTGGTTTTCAAACTCTAAATCTTGTCCTGAAAAACCAACACCTCAGATTAATTTCCATCTTGAACACCTTTTTCTAGATTCATGGTACTCTGTATAGCCATGCTACCATTAAAGCCTTAATTCTTCTTAGCTTATATAGACCTCTAGTCAGCAGCTCTGGATCACAATCTCCATCTCATTTGGTTTACCCTATCATTCCCTACATTGCAACCCAGTAATTTCAAACCAATTTTCATCTTCAAAATGATCTAGTTGCCATATTAAATCCACACAGCCCACATGTGAAACTGTATATAAACATTAAAACATTACTTTTACCATTCTCCCCTTCTTGATCACCATCTTACACAAGATTAATTCTGGGCTGTCTGCATCTGCTGCACAACACTTTCAATTTGCAGCTTCTAGCATGTGACTAAAACCTTAATAACTAATTTACCTGATCATTTAGAAATGTGGCCCAAAACATACAAACTTATTTATAATCATAATCATAGATCCCTACTAAAATGAACATCTCCATTTTTATAAGAAATATTTTATGAGGAAAGCAACAGAAAAAGTGTTCTGTTATTCAGCCCATCTGATGATTTGTTACTAAGCTACTTATGCCTGAGTCACATAACAGTATATACATATTTTTTAAACTGTACTTTTGCCTTTTCAGAATACATAGCTGTAACAAAGTTTGTGCTTGATTTCTAATCACCTACCACAGGCTCTTACTTAGAAAAAGCATTTCCTTTTTATCCTTCTCCTAATTAAGCATAAAACAGAAAATAGAGATAGATGATTCCAACCCACTACTAACCTCTTTGGGCTAAAGATACAGCTTTAGATCAATTTCAAAGAAAGCCTCTTTGTGTCTACCCTTTCAATTACTCCAATTTTAATAAGAACTTGATTATGCCTAGAGGCCGGGAACATTCCTGTGGCTCACAAAATCTACAGATTCTCAGAGAATTGGGAAAAGATTCCGCAACTATAGAATCAAGTAATGTTCAAAGGCAAATGCAGGGCACTCACAGCATAAATATCAAACAACAAAAGTATATTTTCAAATTGATCGATACTCTACTGAGCTCACTATTCACTTCTCCATAATACCACATATTACTCTATAATTACATACTCTTCCAAAAATGTGTAAATTTAGATACTTTAAAACTTTAAAATATAATTCTCTCTGTAACTGAAGAATGAAGGCTCTACCTTGCATAGCTCAACAGTCTGACGCTCGAGTGACCTCTACTGGAACAATGAGGCAGAATGCATAGCTGGAGATAGACCAGTACTTGTAGAGAGGTCCAAGGTGATAAAATGGGATGGAGGAAGAAAATAGTAAAACTACAATTTATATTTGGCTTAGACTATGAAAAATTCTTTCTACACATAAACAATGTAATTGTACTGTAAGACATATATAATCAACAAACAAGTGTACATATATTATAGGCATATTTTTATTAACAATGTACACAATCAAAAATGTGTGAAGACTACTAGATGGTGCACTTTATTGAGACTATCAGCATCACGGTGAACAGGACTGAACAAGCCACAGACTGTTCAACAGAAATTCTACTAATGGCAAATTAAAAACAAGTGAAAATGTGTGCCAAAATTCCTAACAAAAATAAATCCATAAACGTTTCTTCTAAAGCTGTCACAAGTAAATTTGATGTTTTATGTATAATTCATCCTCCACGGAAGTATCTTCCACACGAATTAACATGCCCCAAACTTGAGTGTCTTTCCCAGTCCCCAAACTTGCCTTCTTCTGACTAAAGATATCACTATCACTATAGAGTCATTCGTGATAAAAATCTAAAAGTGAGCTTTGCTTTCTTCCTCTTCAACTCCAGTCATCAAATCATGTAGATTCAGCTTCTTTGGCATCTCTCTAAAACCCAACCTCTCTACTCTTCGTAATTCTCACTGTTACACTGAAGGACTGCTTGAGTCCAGAAGGTCAAGGCTGCAGTAAGCCATAATCAAGCCACTGCACCCCAGCCTGGATGACAGAGTGAGCCCATCTCAAAAAGAAAAAAAGACAAGAATACATGTTTGTTATGAAAAAGGATGACCAGGCCAACCGCGGTGGCTTCACGCCTGTAATCTCAGCACTTTGCGAGACCAGGAGTTTGAGATCAGCCTGGCCATCATGGGGAAACCCTATCTCTACTAAAAATACAAAAATTAGCCAGGCATGAGGATGCACACCTCTAATTCCAGCTATTTGGGTGGCTAAGGCACAAAAACTGCTTAAACTAGGGAGGCAGAGGTTGTAGTGAGCTGAGATTGCACCACTGCACTCCAGCCTGGGCAACAGAGCAAGACTCTGTCTCTAAAAAAAAAAAGAAAAAAAAAAGGATGACCATCATAACATCATTTGCTATAGCAAAGAAGAAGAAACCCAAATGGCCACCAAAAGAATGATTAATAAATTGTAGTACATCTATGCAATATCCTATAAAGGTGCCAAAAATAAAAGCCGATCTACTGCAATCAAAAGATGTCCAAGATATTCTACATGACAAACTACCTAACAGTATGATAATGCCAAGTATATTAAAGGGGGGGATATTAATATACACAGAAGGGTTAAGTGGAATGACATCTATTTCTGAAAGATTAATGGAGTCTACACACTACTTTGAAATACTGGGACTTTGTTTATATGTGTTACTTTGCAGTCAGACAAAAACATTTAAACAAGTAAAACTGGACTTAGGTGTAAAAAAAACAATGGAAAATAAGTATCATCTTTATCCAGTTTTCAGTTTCCAGCACCAAAAAAGTCACACTTCAAAATTCTCTACGATGCTTTACTCTTAGCAACCGATTTCCATTTAAAATACTCATATTATCTAGCAGGGTAAATGAACAACTAAACAGCCTAATACAAGAGAGTTATCAATTTTCCTCATGTACAAATTTCAAAAATGGTACCTATTCCAAAACTGACTTCAATCTATTTCTCAAATTGACTTTTTAAATTAATCAAAACCATTATCCCAAGGGCTAATGTTCAAACTTAATAAACACACTGAAAATCTCTACGGTTTTAGTATAAGCGGTCTGAAAAAAGATTTCCGTTCCCCTCTAACCCACAATTGGCCTGTTAAAAAGGCTGTTAACAGAAATAACTAATCACTGGCCCTAAGATGCCACATTCCAGCTGCCTTCTTCTGACACAGTAAGTTTGGAGATCTTTACATGCATATCTTACCTTGTTTGTCTTAGGAAAAGCTCTGCATCCCTCCAGAAAGGCTGGAGAACAGCTGTCTCTAGAAATCACACACACACACAAAAGCAAAATATGTCAGGCCTTTCTAATACCAAATAAGAGTTCGATCCCAGCTAACGTTCTCGTTGCAATATGTTCTCGTGAGCCTCACTGCTTCTTGCAAACATCGTCTCTCAAACATACAGAAATGTAAACGGCAAGTACACGCCGGCGTATGACGGGAAAAGGTGGCGGAATTACGAACATGTTTTATAAAACCAGAGCTAAGTGCTTCATACACATTGTCTCACTTCACACCCCACAACTTAAAAGGTAGACATAGCCTTAAATTATAAAACCTGAAACCGCGCCGAGCTCCCATACTATCCAGTGTTCGCTAGCTGAAGCATTAGGGTTCGAAACCCAGGGAGGGGGTCTTTCTTAACCCAAAACCAAGGTTCGAAACCAGTGGGGGATTCTTTCCTAACTCCAAACCAAAGTAATTCCACACCGGACTCTTTCCATCCCTCTTCCCTCTATAAGGGCAATTCTGCAAGAGGCTGCCCTGTATAGCAGTCACCCTGACCCACTTCTTCACAAAAAGAAAGGAAAGCACAGCCTCACCACCTTCCCAGCCTCACCACCTTCCCAGCCTCACCATGAACTGTACCCACCCGCTGTACATGGCTTTTACTTCCGCCTCTGGCGCCCGGAGTGGCTAAGTGGAGCGGAAGTGGAAAAGACTAACTTCCGCCCTCGGGTCGCGCGCAGATGTGACGTCATGGATCCTGCGCCCCCTCGGGGCTGTACCTCAGCCCTTCGCAGCCCGACGGTAGGGGCCTGGCAGGGGGCAGCAGGAGACCGCGGTGAGCGCGGGGTACTGAATACCCTTCACGGGTTTCGGAGGGCGGGATGGGACCAGGGACTCCCAGTCGCCTGGGCAAATGGCTGTGGAGAACTGTAGGGCATCCTATCGGGGGCATCCACTGCCTGCCGTCGACACGTGGTGGGAAAGTCACTATTTACATGAGTGTTGCAGTTTTTGATAATGTGACTAACGCGATGCCTATGAACATCTCGGCGTTTTCTGGTGCAGGAAAAGCGGGTGTGTTTACTCTGTTTAGCCCCAGATTCTCTTTCTTTCATGAACTACCGTGGAAATCCCGGAGTGTGACTGCTGGTCTGAATTCAGCATCCGCCTTCAAGCAGGCTAGGAATCAATTCTAGTATACTTCGATTTACCCCCTTGCAGCTGGAATTCAAATATGGTTCTTTTGACATGGTAACGGGTTTGCGCTATTTAAATTAAAGAATGGAGGCAACCGAAACCTCATCTCCACAGTGGATGCGTTTTTGCTCCCACCCGAGGCGTTGCCTTAAACCATGCGGTCCTGCCTAGTGATGGTGACAGTGGAGGAGATAATAGCTTCAATTCAAAGCAATTCTCCTTGATGACCATCAAAAGAAAGATAATATCCACATTAATGAATTAATCATGTCTGTAGAGTTACCCTCAGGAAACAGCGGTGGTTTGGTCCTTAGAAAAACACAGGATCAACAGGGTTTATCCTGAATTCTACAAGTAGGAAAAAATTAATGCATTACTAACTCCTCCATGTACGAGCCTAATGATATAATTTTCTGGCCGGGTGCGATGGCTCATGTATGTAATCCCAGCAATTTGAGAGGCCAAGGCGGGAGAATGGCTTGAGGCCAGGAGTTCAAGACCAGCCTGGCCAACATGGTGAAACCCGTCTCTACAAAAAATTAGCGAGGCATAGTCACAGGCTACTGTAGTCCCAGCTACTCAGGAGGCTAAGGTGGGAGCATCACCTCAGCCTGGGAGGTTGACGCTGCAGTGAGCCGTGATTGTGCGACTACTTGGGTGACACAGTAAGACTCTGTCTCAAAAAACAAAAATAATTTTCTTTATCCCTTTTTTTTTTTTCCTGAGACAGAGTCTCGGTCTTTTGCCCAGGCTGGAGTGCAGTGGCACGATCTCAGCACACTGCAACCTCCGTCTCCTGGGTTCAAGCCATTTCCCTGCCTTAGCCTCCCGAGTAGCTGGATAGCTGGAACTACAGGTGTGTGACCATGCCCGGCTAATTTTTTTTTTTTTTTTTTTTTTTTTTTTTTTTTTTTTTTTTGTATTTTAGTAGGGACGGGGTTTCACCATGTTGGCCAGGATGGTCTCGATCTCCTGACTGCTCACTTTGGCCTCCCAAAGTGCTGGGATTACAGTCATGAGCCACCGTGCCCGGCCTCTTTATCACATTTCTTTACCAATGAACCAATTGTGATTTACTGTCACTCACCCTTAGATTACTCCTTATTGGTTTGTTGTCACTTTGTTTTTGATTAACTCTCTGTTTTGTTGGTTTCGAAGGATAAAAATTTATCTTTGGGAATTTAAAATACTAATAATCAGTCTATCTATTGAGTAAAACTACTTACTGCAATTCCTCCAGGTAAAAGTTAGTCTCCCAAAATTGGAAATGGCTTTTTAAATGTGAATTTCTAAAATCTATATTCCCTCTGCATGGAAGAAGCTCCTATGTCCTAATTAATATTACTACATATTTTATGTATATGTATACATATATATATACACACACACACATACACACAAACTGCTTTAAAATCAGAATATAAACAATGAAATTTACATATTAAATTAAATAAAATAGCTTTTGAGATTACTAAGCCCCAGCCCTCTCATTTACAAATGAGAACACTGAAACCCATAGAGTAGGAACTAGCAAGAGAATGCATGTCTTATACTTCCTTTACCAGTAAGTCTAAGATTTTTACCACATACTTTGTTGTATTGACAGCTATCAAGAGTTATTTCAGACTTACTTAGTTAACATCACCTATGTTGGTTTTTAGTGACATTTTGTAGGTAAAGGCAAATTGGTTCTTTTGAAAATAAGTTCCATATTTCCCATCAGAAATTTTCTGATTACAAATCTATTTTAAATGCATATTATAAAATACTGAAAGTATAACAGAAATGTAATCATGGCTGGGTTAGGATACAGTATTTCTTCAATGATTTTTGAAATGTCATTACCTCCAATAAGAGCAATGACTACTGCCTCATTGTCCTTTATGGTGTTTTACAATAGGACCTTTCCTGTATTTCATGTGTTTATTCAATGAACATTTATTGAGCACCTGCACATTCCAGGCCCTGTTTTCAGGTTAGGGGACATAGTGGAAACCAAGACAAAGCCCCTGCCTTCCTGGACCTTATTTCTACTGGTAGGTCTTACTCTCAGCCTGAATGTCTTTCCTCTACATGCCTCCTCCATCTCCTTCCCCAAGACCATAGCAGACCCATGTCCCTACCAAGTTGATGCAATTAAGAAAAATAAAGTGGCTGAGGGCAGTGATTTCCACCTGTAATCGCAGCATGTTGGACTTAGATACTCAGAAGCTGGGCTGAAAGTCAAGTCTGAACACAGAATCTGTGCTGTATTCAGAAGTGCCTCTACCTCTTATAATTAATAATTTTTTTTTTTTTTTTTGAGACGGAGTTTCGCTCTTGCTACCCAGGCTGGAGTGCAATGGCGCGATCTCAGCTCACCGCAACCTCCGCCTCCTGGGTTCAGGCAATTCTCCTGCCTCAGCCTCCTGAGTAGCTGGGATTACAGGCATGCGCCACCATGCCCAGCTAATTTTTTTTGTATTTTTAGTAGAGACGGGGTTTCACCGTGTTGACCAGGATGGTCTCGATCTCCTGACCTCGTGATCCACCCGCCTCAGCCTCCCAAAGTGCTGGGATTACAGGCTTGAGCCACCGCGCCCGGCTTAATAATTTTTTAACTGTGCCAAATGTGTCTGTTCCTCTGCCCTGGAAGTGTCCTTCCTGCTTCATGCAAATAGATTTCTAGCAAACCACAGCCCCTCAGTTGACCATTTATTCATGTTTGAATCTCAGCAAGCCCAAGAAAGGTCAAAAAGAAAGTGGCCCTTCATTCCTCCCACCCTTCCCTTCAGATGATATAATACCCACTGTCTCCTGGATTTAGCAGACAAATGCCTGCCCCATCCCCACATCAACTTCATAGACAGACCTGCTAGCTTCCTATGTGACTCACTTGAGGGCCCTCAGAGGAACATCAGGTTTCTACCCAGGACTCCCTTACTCCATTCTCTTGCCTCCAGCTGTTTTGTTTGCATAAAGCATAAAATGTTTCCCAGTTGTTCAAGGCAAATTAAAGTAGTAGATAAAGTTACCCAGAGAGTCTCAGGTTAACACTCTATTTGTTGGCAAACATATAGAAAAGATAGCTTTATTTTCACCCTTTTCACAATTGCTTTTTTTTTTTTGAGACGGAGTTTCGCTCTTGTTACCCAGGCTGGAGTGCAATGGCGCGATCTCGGCTCACCGCAACCTCCGCCTCCTGGGCTCAGGCAGTTCTCCTGCCTCAGCCTCCTGAGTAGCTGGGATTACAGGCATGCGCCACCATGCCCAGCTAATTTTTTTTTGGTATTTTTAGTAGAGACGGGGTTTCACCATGTTGACCAGGATGGTCTCGATCTCTCGACCTTGTGATCCACCCGCCTCGGCCTCCCAAAGTGCTGGGATTACAGGCTTGAGCCACCGCGCCCGGCCCACAATTGCTTTTTAACAGCTTAAGATTTCTAAAGATTTTGCTTAGGCAATTTTCTTCCTCTGAAGTGTGTCTAAAGACTTCCTGAGTCAGCTTTCATGCTCCCATACTCATTACCACAAGGGTCTGTGGCAAAGAACTGGATACTTAGCCTAGCAAATTTGCTGAGTCCAGACCTGATATGAGCCCAATTCCCATGGTAGTTGGATCAGTTAGCCAGAGTTGGCCAAGAGAACCCCAATAATCATTTGAGGTCCCATTCAGCCTCATGAGTTTAAGTATCTTTTGGATTGTTTGATCCTACTGTACCATATCTTAAATTAATTGTCATGACATGATTATTAATCATTGGTAGAAAAATTAATCTCAACAGAGAGGAGGAGAGCAAACATTCACAAGATGAAATACTATTTTCATTATCCGAAACGATTTTCCTTTCTATTTAAGGTATTTCTTGAAATTCCTCCTTTAGAGATTTATACCTGGGCATAAACTGTTCTGATTTAAATTGCAAATGTATTTGAAAGGGAAAGCATATTAACCCAAAGGTCAGCAACCTTCTTCTATAAAGGACCAAATAATATTTTAGGCTTTGTAGGTCACATACTGTCTCTGTTGCAAATTCTCTTTTTTATTTTCTATCTTTCACAACCCATTAAAAGTGTAAAAACCATTCTTAGCTTGAGGGCTACTAGGCCCCTGACCACAGTCTGCTAAGACCTGCATTAAACTATATTGAGCTACTCACATATAACTGTAACTTCATATGTTGATTACTATGTTAAAGACATCCAAAAACTAGGAATTTTAAGAGAAAGTACATGGAGAGAAAAATAATATTTGAAAACATTCACATAAAGCTATCTGCCAGGCACAACTCTAATCAGTTCACCTATATTAACTCATTTTGTTGTATACTGGAAATAATATTGTCTCCATTTTACAGATGGAGAAACTGAGATAGAGACTATGTGACTTGCCCAAGCTCATGTAGGTATTAAGTAAGGGAGCCAGCATTGCAACCTAAGAAGTCAGGCTGTGGAGTCTATGACTGTATTCATAATGCTATGCTGACACTCAGGGAGATATAATACTTTAGTTCATGTTAGAAAATAAAAATGAAGAAAGGGGCAAAAAAATGATTTCACTCATAATTCCATCACGTAGAAATAACCATTATTTATATTTTATTTATATTCTTTTGGTTTATACTCTTCCAGAACATATGAAAGAATATAAACCAAAAGAATATAAATAAAACATATAAATAAGTATTTTAGGTGTTGTGGGCAACATACTCTATAACTGTAACTGAAGCTAAATTACAGTTATATGTGAGTAGCTCATTACAGTTTATTTCAGGTCTTAGCAGATTATGGCCTATATACATACACCCATAGAGTATATCGCATATCCTTAGTCAACCCTATGACGCAGGTATCATACTTTTGGAGATGAAACTGAGGCTTAGATGAATTAAGTGACTGTGTGTCTTAGTCCATTTTTGTGTTGATATAAAGGATTACCTGAAGCTGAGTAATTTATAAAGAAAAGAGGCTCACAGTTCTGCAGGCTGTACAGGAAGCATGGCACTGACATCTGCTCAGTTTCTGGTGAGGGCCTCAGAAGTTTACAGTCATGATGGGAGGCAAAGGGGGAGCAAGCGTTTCATGTGGCAAGAGGGAACAAGTGGGGGAGAGGAGGTGCCACACACTTTTAAACAAGAGGATTTCACAATAACTCACTCTCACAAGGACAGCACCAAGAATATGAGGAATCTGCCCCCATGACCCA